ACTTGAGCCACAGCGCCACTTCCAGCTTTTTTTTTCTTTTTTGCTTATGTGGTGCTGAGGAATCAAACCCAGGGCCTCATGCATGCAAGGCAAGCATTCTACCACTGAGCCCCTTCCCAGCCTGCTTTTTGTTTTTTTGATGCCAGTACAGCTTAAACTCAAGGTGCTGTTCCTGTGCTCTACCATGTGAGCCAAAACTTCACTTCCAGCTTTTTGCTAGTTAATTGGAAATAAGACTTCATAGATGCTAGGTGCTGGTAGCTCATGCCTGTAATTCCTAGCTACTCAGGAGGCTGAGATCTGAGGATCACAGTTCAAAGCCAGCTGGGGCAGGAAAGTCCATGAGACTCTTATCCCCAGTTAACCACCAGAAAACTGGAGGTGGCACTGTAGCTCAAAAATGGTAGAGCAGTAGCTGGGATTACAAGTGTGAGCTACTGGGTGCCTGGCTGGGGCTTCTTTTTGAAGTGATGAAAATATCCTTGAATTAGGTAGGGAATACAGATATTTTCTTGAGATAAAAGGAGACTCACATCAGATGGCAGAGTAGATGTTAAAAGTAATGGGAGAGTGCTTTCTATTATTGGTTTTAAAAAAAGTTTTTCACTGTTAAAGGAAACAGGCTGGGCTCAGTGACACATAGCTGTCATCCCAATGGCTCAGGGAAGCATAAATAGTATTGTAGTCCAGGCGTAAAGTGAGATCCTATCTCAAAAATAACCAAAGCAAAAGGGCTAGCACCGTGACTTAACCAATAGAGTACCATCTTAGTAAGTGTAAAGCAGGGTATAGTGGCTCATATCTGTAATTCTTAGGAGCCTAGGATCTGAGGATTGCAATTTGAAGCTAGTCAGGGCAGAAAAGTCTATGAGACTCTAGTTTTCAATTAGCCACCAAAAAGCCAGAAGTGGAATTGTGCTCAAGTCTTTTGCGTGCCAGCCTTGAATGAAAAAGCTAAGGGACAGTTCCCAGACCCTGAATTCAAGCCCCAGTACTAGCACCAAAAAGTAAAATAAAACAAAAACAAAAGCCAACAACAACCAACTTTTGACACAATGATGGTCAAAAGTTACTGACAATACTTTCCATCAATTGGCATGACTTTAAAGTGATTAAGAGGGGCTGGGAAGGTGGCTCAGTGGTAGAGCGCTTGCCTTGCATGCATGAGGCCCTGGGTTTGATTCCTCAGCACCACATAAGCAAAAAAGAAAAAAAAAGCTGGAAGTGGCGCTGTGGCTCAAGTGGTAGAGAGCTATCCTTGAGCTGAAGAGCTGAGGGACAGCGCCCAGGCCCAGAGTTCAGGCCCCATGACCGGACCAAAAAATAAATAAATAAATAAAGTGATTGGAAAAGGCCAATATGCTATCTAGAAACATTTGCCTAGAGATTTGCTCATCTTTCAAAACTATTTTTTGCTGGGCACCAGTAACTCATGCTATCTACTACTCAGCAGGCTGAGATCTGAGGATCATGTTTTGTTTTTTACTAGCCCTGGGACTGGAACTCAGGGCCTGGGCACTACCTCTGAGCTTCTTCTTCTTTTGATCGGTTATGGGGCTTGAACCTTGGACCTGGGCGCCACTTCTGGTTTTCTGGTGGTTAATTGGAGTTGAGTTTTACAGACTTTCCTGCCTGGGCTGGCTTTGAACCTTGAGCCTCAGATCTCAGCCTCTTGAGTAGCTAGGATTACAGGCGTGAGCCACTAGCACCTGGCTTACCCCTGAGCTTCTTTTGCTCAAGGCTATCACTCTGCCACTTGAGCCACAGCACCACTTTCTAATTAACTACCACAAAGGGAAGAGGAGCTGTTGCTCTAGTGATAGAGTGCTATGCATGAGCAAAAAAGCTCAAGGATAGTCCCTAGGCTCTGAGTTCAAGCCCTACTATAAGCAGAAAAAAATAATAAAAAATAATTTAAAATATTTTAAAAGATGAAGATGAAGATGAAGATGAAACTGGTCTACTTGAAGGATATGAGGAGGAGGAGGAGGAGGAAGAAGAAGAGGAAGATGAAGATGAAGCAGATTCAGAATTGGGAGAAGGAGAAGAGGAAGTGGGCCTTTCATACTTAATGAAAGAAGAAATTCAGGTGAACATACTTGCACTGAAAATTAATTACCTAGGTGTAGGGCTACTATGTCCTAAAAAAGTGATTGTGTAGAAATCTGAGTTGATGGTTAACTTGTGGAAATGCATGTTTTTTTTTTTTTTTGATTTTTTTTTTCCAGGTATATTGCTTTCAAATCTATCCTGCCTTCAATGGCATGGTATGATGAAAACAGATTACAAATACTTTTGCATTTATAGAAGTGAGATTATACCAACCTTAAAGGATTGTTATTAAGGACTTAATAAGATAATGTTTGTGAGGTATTTAGCCCTTAGCACATTGTAGATACTTAAGAAAACTTAATTTCTTCTCTCTAATTATCTCTTGCTTTATACTCTTACAATAGCTCTCTAAATGGTCTCTCTTAATACAGCATCTTCACTTAGGAATCCCCTCCACTGTGCTTCAGGTGTAGTCAGATGCAAATGTGATCATATCACTAGCTTTCTTGAGGTCTTCAGCATTTCTCTGTTGTCACTAAAACATACGACATTCTTCCTTAACTATGGCCTTTGATTCCTCCCCTAGCCTCATTTCTTTTTTTTTTTTGTTGGTCGTGGGGCCTGAACTCTGGGCCTGGGCACTGTCCAGTTCAAGGCTAGTGCTCTACCACTTGAGCCACAGTGCCATTTCCAGCTTTTTCTGCTTATGTGGTGCTGAGGAATTGAACCTAGGGCCTCATGCATGTGAGGCAAGCGCTCTACCACTGAGCTACCTTCCCAGTCCCCCTAGCCTCATTTCTTTCAATATCAAATTACTTGCCTTATGTTGTATATACATTGTTCACTCTGTCTGAAATGATTTTTTCCCATGCTCCCTGGTGAACTTAATTTTGACTTGTGTTGAAGTAAACATAAACATTACAAAACATGCAAAGCATACTAATTTTATGTTCACTTCCGTGAAATTTTATGTGTGGAGTTTTGTATATTTTTTCTTAGCAATCACCCTTCCTCTTAGCCTTTATACCTGATTAGGCCAGGCACTAGTGGCTCATGACTGATACTAGCTACTTAGAAGGATGAGATTACTAGCTACTTAGTAGGAGGATCCAGGCCAGCCTGGGCAAAACATTTATATGACCCTCATCTCAACAGAAAAAACTGAGTGTGGTAGTAGTGCTTTCCTATTATCCCAGCTATGCAGGGAAGAGTAAATAGGACTGGCCTAGGTGAAAAAACAAAAAGCAAGACCCTATTAAACAACAACCAGAGGGCTGGGAAGGAAGGTGGCTCAGTGGTAGAGCGCTTGCCTTGCATGCCTGAGGCCCTGGGTTCGATTCCTCAGCACCACATAAGCAAAAAGAAAA